GGCTTCTGGCTTCAGATCGGCGGCCATTTGAAGATTTGAGGAATGGACCAATGGAAGGAAGACCTTTCTCTCTGTCTCTCTCTCTCACTGTCTATAACTCTACCTGTCAAATAAGTAAAAAAAAAAAAAAAAGAAAAAGAAAAGAAAAGAAATGAAAGAAACAAAAAAACTCGCAACATCGGTCTTCTAAAAAAAAGAGAGAGAGAGAGAGAACCTAATTCCAGTCATGCAGGAAGGATTCCTCATAGCCTAATCACTTCCTAAAGGCTCATATCTTAATAGTATTATGTTGACAACATCTGAATTATGGGTTGTAAACATTCAAACCATAGCACTGTTCGCAGCTGACCCAACAGATAACTGAGGCCTAGCATGAGAGGCTCAGGTTTCCCAGGGAATGCAGCAATGGCACGTAGTTGCTACAGGAAATTTCACTGTTCACTTCTTCTACAGCACCTGCAGCTGATCATTGTCTCAATATATATTAGTTTATAGTTTACTATCTGCCTTGCTTACTAGAATATGAGCCCCATGAGGGAAGCGTCCTTGACTATGAAAATCATTATTTTATAATTTCTAGAAGAGAGACTGAAATTCTGCTAATGTTCAAGAAACATTTTCTAAGTGAATGAATGAACAGATAAAATGGCCATTTCCACCTCCCAAATTTCTTCAGGGACTAGGTCAAGTACCATTTCAGTTATAGATGAGCAATACATATATCTGGATTCTCCTTCAGTTTTATCTCCAATATTGATGGAAGATTGAAAAGAGGTACATTACTCTTATAAACTCGGGGGAGTAATAACACTGGTCAATAATCCATGACTCCAGGAAGAATTTCCACTTATCACACATTTGAAGCAGAAGAGAGAGGACTTTCCCAGTGATTTTTCTGTCCATGGAAACTAAACTCACAAAAGCATGGGTTTACAAAGGTACCTGTATACTAAAATTAACAGAGAAGCTTTTATATATTCCAATGCCCAGGCCATCCCTTAGATCAACTAAGTAGAAACTTCGTTGTACAAGATTGCTTTAGCTACTCGAGGTCTCCTGTGCCTCCACGTGAATTTCAGCATCATTTTTTCCAGATCTGTGAAGAAGGTCTTTGGTATTTTGATTAGTATTGCATTGAATCTACAAATTGCTTTTGGGAGAATGGACATTTTGATGATATTGATTCTTCTAATCCATGAGCATGGAAGATTTTTCCATTTTTGGTATCCTCTTCTATTTCTTTCTTTAAGATTTTGTAATTCTCATCATAGAGATCTTTGACATCCTTGGTTAAGTTTATTCCAAGGTATTTGATTGCTTTTGTAGCTATTGTATATGAAATTAATCTTAGCAATTCTTTCTCAGCTGTGGCATTGCCTGTGTATACAAAGGCAGGCTATTGATTTTTGTGTATTGATTTTATATCCTACTACTTTGCCAAACTCTTCTATGAGTTCCAATAGTCTCTTAGTAGAGTTCTTTGGGTCCCCTAAAGAAAGAATCATATCATCTGAAAAGAGGGATAGTTTGACTTCTTCATTCCCAATTTGCATCCCTTTAATTTCTTTTTCTTGCCTGATGGCTCTGGCTAACCTTCCAGTTCTATATTGAATACCAGTGGTGAGAGTGGACATCCCTGTCCTGTACCAGATCTCAGGGGAAAGGCTTCCAACTTTTCCCCATTCAATAGCATGTTGGCTGTGGGTTTTTCATAAATTGCTTAGATTGTATTGAGGAATGTTCCTTCCATACTCAGTTTGCTTAGAGTTTTCATCATGAAAGGGTGTTGTATTTTATCAAATGCTTTCTCTGCATCTATTGAGATAATCATATGGTTTTTCTTCTGCAGTCTGTTAATGTGGTGTATCACATTGATTGTTTTGTGCACATTGAATCATCCCTGCATACCAGGGATCAATCCCACTTGGTCTGGGTGGATGATCTTTCAGATGTGTTGTTGCATTCTATTGGCGAGAATTTTATTGAGGATTTTTGTGTCTATGTTCATCAGGGAAATTGGTCTGTAATTCTCTTTCTCTGCTGTATCTTTTTCAGGTTTAGGAATTAAGGTGATGCTGGCTTCATAGAAAGAATTTGGGAGGATTCCCTCTTTTTTGATTGTTCTGAATAGTTTGAGAAGAATTGGAGTTAGTTCTTTAAATATCTGGAAGAATTCAGCAGTGAATCTATCAGGTCCTGGGCTTTTCTTTGTTGGGAGGGCCTTTATTACTGACTCAATTGCTGACTGGGTTATGGGTCTGTTCAGGTTTTCTATGTCTTCATGGTTCAATTTAGGTAGGTTGTATGTGTCCAGGAATCTATCCACTTCTGATAGATTTCCCAGTTTGCTGGCATACAACTCTTTTTAGTAATTTCTGATGATTCTTTTTATTTCTGTGGTGTCTGTTGTCATGTTTCCTTTTTCATCTCTGATTTTATTGATTTGGGTCTTTTCTTTTTTTAGTTAGTTGGGCCAATGGGGTGTCAATTTTGTTTATTTTTTCAAAAAAAACAGCCCCTTGTTTGGCTGATTTTTTGTAATTTTTTTTATTCAATCCTATTGATTTCTTCTCTGATTTTAATTATTTCTCTTCTCCTACTATTTTTGGGTCTGGCTTGCTGCTGTTTTTCTAGATCCTGAGAAGCACTGATAGCTCATTTGTTTGGTGCCTTTCCAATTTCTTTTTTTTATTATTATTTTTTTTAACAGACAGAGTGGACAGTGAGAGAGAGAGACAGAGAGAAAGGTCTTCCTTTTGCCGTTGGTTTACCCTCCAATGGGCGCCGCGGCCGGCGCGCTGCGGCCGGCGCACCGCGCTGATCCGATGGCAGGAGCCAGGAGCCACGTGCTTTTCCAGGTCTCCCATGGGGTGCAGGGCCCAAGCACCTGGGTCATCCTCCACTGCACTCCCAGGCCACAGCAGAGAGCTGGCCTGGAAGAGGGGCAACCGGGACAGAATCCGGCGCCCCAACCGGGACTAGAACCCGGTGTGCCGGCGCCACTAGGCAGAGGATTAGCCTAGTGAGCTGCTGCGCCGGCCTTCCAATTTCTTGATGTAGGCACCTATTGCTATAAACTTTCCTCTTAACACTACTTTTGCTGTATCCCCTAAGTTTTGATATGTTGTGTTGTTATCCTCATTTACTTCCAGAACGTTTTTGATTTCTTTTTTGATTTCTTCTATGACTCAGTGTTCATTCAGGAGCATGTTGTTCAGTCTCCATGTGTTTGCATATACTCTAGGGATTCCTTCATTGCTAATTTCCAGCTTCATTCCATTTTGGTCTGGATGCATGGTATGATTTGATTCTTTTGAATTTGCTGAGACTTGCTTTATGGCCTAGTATGTGGTCAATCGTAGAGTAGGTTCCATGTACTGCTGAGAAGAATGTGTATTCTTCAAGTGTTGGATGAAAAGTTCTGTAGATATCTGTTATGTCCATTTGGTCTATAGTTGATTAAATCTGCTGTTTTCTTATTGATCTTCTGTCTGTTTGATCTCTTAATTGTTGAAAGTGGAGTATTGAAGTCCCCCAAATACTATTGTATTGGAATGTAAGTCTCCCTTTAAGTCCCTTAACATATCTTTTAAATAAACCGGTGTCCTGTAATTAGGTGCATATATATTTTAATACTTACATGTGTTGTATTGATCTCTTAATCATTATATAGTGCCCCTCTTTGTCTCTCTTAACAGTTTTTTGTTAAAGTTTATTTTGTCTGATGTTAAGATGGCTACGCCAGCTCTTTTTTGGTTTCTGTTGGCATGGAATATCTTTTTCCAACCTTTCACTTTCAGTCTGCATGAATCTTTACTGGAAAGATGTGTTTCTTGTAAGCAGCAAATAGATGTGTTTGTGTTTTAATCCATTCAGCCAGTCTGTGTCTTTTAATTGGAGAGTTGAGGCCACTTACATTCAATGTGACTATTGATAGGTAGTGACTTTGCCCTGCCATTTTTCCAAAGATATTTCTAATATATGCTTTGAACTCCCTGTGATCTATTACTGGGAGGTTTTCTTCATTTACCTTCTTTCATATTGATGGCCTTGTTTCTGTGTTTCTGTGTGTAACACTTCTTTAAGCATCTTTTGCAGGGCTGGATGAGTGATAACAAATTCTTTCAATTTCTGTTTGCTGTGAAAGGTCTTTATTTCACCTTCATTCACAAATGAGAGCTTTTCAGGATATAATATTCTGGGATGGCATTTTTTTCTCTTAGTACTTGGGCTATATCTCACCATTCCCTCCTTGCCTGTAGTTTTTCTGATGAGAATCTGCTGTGAGTCTAATTGGAGATCCTCTGAGAGTAATCTGATGTTTCTTTCTTGCACATTTTAGAATCTTTTCTTTATGTTTCACTGTGGTGAGTTTGATTACAATGTGTCCTGGCGAGGATCTCTTCTGGTCATGTTTGTTGGGAGTTCTGTGTGCTTCCTGTACTTGGATGTCTCTTTCTCTGAACCAGGGATGCTTTCTGCTAGTATCTCACTTAAAAAGCCTTCTTATCCTTTCTCTCTCTCAATGCCTTCAGAAACTCCTAGAACCCGAATGTTGGGTTTTTAATAGTTTCCTGTAGATTCCCAACAATATTTTTTAGATTTCTAATTTCCTCTTCTTTTCTTTGGTTTGACTGTATACTTTCCTGTGCTCTGTCTCCTAAGTCTGATATTCTCTCTCCTGCCTCACTGATTCTGTTTTTAAGGCTCTCAAATGTGTTTATTTGTTCTATTGCATTCTTCATTTCATTTTGATTTCTCTTCAATATCTCAATTTCATGTTATACTAAATTCCTATTTCATTTTGATTCCTCCTTAAGATTCCATTTTCACGAGAGAGATTTTCTGTCATGTCCTGCTTGGATTTCTGTAGTCCATGTATTTGTTTTTGATAACTTCTAAATGTTCTGGAAATACTACTTTGGCTTGATGCTCCTCTCTCAGGTCCTGTGGCTCCTTCTTTGGGGCGTTTCCTGAGATCTGTGTATGTAAACTCCAGCCTATCTGCCCACAGCCATGGACTCAAGATGCAAGGTATCATTTTTAGATGAAAGGTTCAAACTTGGAGTCCTATTTTCTTTTCCTTTAAGGCAGCACATATGAGTAGTTTCACCAGTCTGTTTCCTGCCTGTAGAATTTTGAGAATCTGACAGACATCCTTCATTTTGTTCTGTTTCTTTAAGTCTGAAGATGCACAATTCCTGAGAACCTTTTGGGTCTGCCATGTATGCTAAGGGTATGCACACCATTAAAGAAGGTGTTTCACGTGTTATCTCTAGATAATCCCATCTCTGTTCCTAAATTCTGCTGAGATGTTGAGGGATTCATGAGTCATATGTCTCGTATATTTAGCAAAAGAAATCTAGATGGGACAAAAATTTTTCCAAATCATTATGCATTGTTTCTTTTATGCTTAAGTTTTTCCTTTAACATATTGTATCTATTTCCATATTTGTATGAGTTGAACAAAATATTTTCTGATGATTCTCTGAAACTTTTATTTATTGCATTCCATCATTTAAACTCTAAATTTGTGTGTTTGTGATTTCCCCTTTTTTGAATAGTGATTTTTTTTCCACTATGTGTGTTCTCTCCCAATTCCCTCACTCTCTTCCTCATTCTTTTCCTTCTTAGTATAAACTTCTTTCCACAAAGGCAAGCAATGTTATAAAAATATGGTGTTCCAAAGCATGTTTTGATGTTTACTACATACAGATATGTGCATGTTTGTGTATACATATAGATACAAGGGTACATCAAAAGCTTTATAGAAAAAGAGAGTTAGTTAAAAGGTAAGTTCGTTTTGGTGCAAAATAGTTTTTGAAATCTGTGCAGTTTTCTCCTAATACATATTTTATGAACTTTCTGAAGACCATCCATAAGCATAACTTTCAGAAATATTTTACACCCAAAATAACCTTATCTTTTAATTCCATTTTCCATGAACATTTTGAAATATTTTCATATGCTGTAATAAATTTCAATATTTTCTGAGAGGCAGAGTTACAGACACAGAGATGGAGAGGTGAAAACAAATGTCCTCCATCTGCTGGTTCACTCCCCAAATGGCCACAACAGCCAGAGCTGGACCCATCTGAAGCCAGGAACCTCTTCCAGGTCTCCCATGTGTGTGCAGGGGTCCAAGCACCTAGGCCATCCTTCACCGCCTTCCCAGGCCATAAGCAGAGAGCTGGAAGAGAAGAAGAGCAGCTGGGACATGAACCAACACTCACTAGGATGCCGGCACTGCAGGTAGAGGTTTGGCCTACTATGCCATAACACAGGCCACCAATTTAAAACATTTTGAAACCACATGGAATTTTGTTGTAGAAAAAGACTAAGACTAGGATACACCAGCAATAAGACAATGCTTTTATTGCTTTGTGCACTAAGTAATAAGTATAATGAATTTATGTAATATAAATAATATAATAAATATTTTAGAGAATTCTACATCTCTTTTATTTATCAACACTTGGCAAGTTTTTTTTAATATCCTTGGATCTTTTATTTACTATCTGAGGGATAAACCTATTGACATTGTCTAGAACTTTCCTCAGGGCTATCTGCATTTCTTTATTTCTTAGACTGTAAACCATGGGGTTAAGCAGTGGTGTTAGCACTGTATATATCACAGCCATCAGCATGTTTTCATAGAATGTGTCACTGTTCTTGGGCTTCAAGTAGACAAAGCAAGCAAAGCCATAGTGTAGAAACACAACCGTGAGGTGAGAGGAACAAGTTGAGAAGGCTTTATACCTCCCCTTTGTAGAAGACATCCTCACAATTATGGACACAATGAAGATATAGGAAATCATAATTAAAATAAAGCTGCCAACCAATACAAAAGCAGAGAGCACAAAAATAGTCATTTCATGATGGGGTGTGTAATCACAAGCAAGGTGGACCACAGGTGCAATGTCACAGAAGAAATGGTCAATAGTGTTGGCGTTACAGAAAGACAAGTTGAATACAGTGATGGTGACACACAGAGAAACCAGGAACCCAATGATACAAGAGGCCATCATAAGCTGAATGCATATCTTTCTTGTTATAAGTGTCTGATAGTGCAGAGGGTTGTGGATGGCTGTGTAACGGTCATAGGACATGGCAGCCATGATGAAACAATTGTTAGATGACAAGCCAAAGAAGAAAAGCATCTGTGTGGCACACTCAGGAAGAGATATGGTCTTGCTCTCTGATAGCAAGTCCAGTAACATGCGGGGGATGATCACCATAGTGGTGCAAGTTTCTGAGAGAGAGAGGCCAAAGAGGAAAAAGTACATGGGGGTGTGAAGGCTGTGACTGAGCTTGATGGCCACCATGATGGACACATTTGCAGCCAGGATGGTCACATGCGAGAAGAAAATCACCACAAAGAGTAGATTCTGCAGGTCTGGAAAACTGGAAAACCCCCACAAAAGGAATGTGCTCACTCGAGTGTGGTTGCCCATTCTAGTAGGTAGAGCCACTTTCCACCAGTGACGTAAAGATGCTCTTGGTCAGGATCCTGAGATAATAGTCAAAAGCTTCTTATGCATTTCTTTCATCTGGGCTTCAATTCAGGGAACTTGGGCAAGTAAAATGTACTTTTAGAGAACATCACAAAAGGGAGTTAGGTGTACCTGATAGAACTCAAGGTCAGGGTCCAAGTGACGAGAAGGATGATTCCAATATGAAAGGGTGTATGATTCCATAGCGTGAACCCAAATATCTTCTTGAATTCTACTCACAAAACTGATACTTATGTCTTTTCTCCATTCTGTGTCTGTAAGAAAAACACAAAATATTAATAAAAATCATATATACTGGATTTTGAGATCTCATATTTTTCAAATGTCTTCTGTGATCTAATGGTATGCTGGCATATAGAAGTGCTTAATGAACTGTCGATTTTATGAAAGAAACGATTCAATTATTTAAATCATTTGTAATATTTTTAAAATCCTGGAGATACTAGTAAAAATTTCCAAATGAATTTTCACATTTCTTTCAATATAAGCCTATCTTCATCAATGTACTCCAAAATGCAGTGTCTCCAAGGGTGGTAGTTTGTGACAATGACTAAGCCAAACAAATTAATTTAGCATGCTGTAACTTGTTTCTATTCTTGACAATTATTGAAGTTTGATATACATACATATATATATATAGTCAATTGTTCATAAAATAACAGTTTTTAAAACAGCACTAATTTTGAAGTTCTTGAGAATTTCTCACTGAAGTGTTTTCTAATAATGGACTCACATGAAATTAATATATATGATTTTAAGTTGGTTCCTCATTCTAGAACATTAAATTCTTTTCATGATATTATAGTAAACTTCCAAGAGCTTTTAGCAGAACCTCCAAAATATTTTTTAGCTGGTAAACTTAAGTGGTTTACTTTGTAGTGCACATCTGAAGAGAATCAACTTAAGTTCCTTGAACAATTCTATAAGTCATATTTGTATTTTAATTGTTCATTAAACACAAAATCCATGTAGGAAATGAGGGCAGAATAGTCATATACATAGTCTCCATAGATTCCATAAACTCCATATTTCATTCATTCACTGTTAAAGGTGAAGAACAAAACAAAACAAAAACAGGAACAGGTATAGGAAATCAAAGGCTGGGAGAGAGAAAGAAAGAAACATTGGATGGAATTTCTTCTGAAGTTTGTACAGAATTTAAAGACAAAAGAAGATAAAACACAAAGCAATTATACTGTTAGATGAGGTGTTGTTGTCTTCTTTTTGCATTGCATTTGTTTACAAAGAATACAAGTGTCAGACCTACTCAATATCTTTAACATACCAGACAATATGCCAGTGTTTGGCAGCACTATGTTCTATGATCTCAACAAATCTATGTGAAGAATTTTCTTTCGGATTTTATAAAACACAAAGGCAGGGGGGCTGGCATTATGGCATAGAGTTAATCCACTGATTATGTTGCCAACATCCCAGGTGAGTGCAGATTGAGTCCCGGCTGCTCCACTTCCAAACCAGCTCTGCTATTGCACTTGGGAAAACAGCACAAAATGACCCAAGTGCTTGGGTCCCTGCCACCATGCGGAAGACCCAGATGGAGTTTATAGCACTTGGCTCTAGGCTGGCCCAGTCCCAGCCATTTTTGGCATCTGGGGAATGAACTCACATAGAGAAAAGACACCTCTCTCTCTCTCTTTCTCTAACTCTGCCTTTCAAATCAATCAATAAATCTTCCAAAAATATGTTCAGGGAAAAACATAATGGAGAGATATGTTTGTTTAAAAAGTTAAAAAAAAAAACATGAAAGCAAGGGACAGAGCAGTTATGTGACTATCAGAACACAAACTGATTCAACTAAATTGACTAAATGCCTGTGATATGTCAGACAATTCTATGCATGGGAAACATGACACAGAATCAGACACGCAGAAACTCTGACATGAAAGTGTATGTCTATTATTTGTGTAGTCAGAGAAACCCTCTCTGAGGAGGTAGCATACTTAAACAGAGAAAAGAGGAAAATATTACGTCAACATATAATTAGAGGAGAGGACATCACAGGCACAGATCACACTTAGTACAAAGACCCAAGGGTGGGTAACAACTCTACTAAGCAATCTTCAATGAAGATCAATTGGATAAATCTTTGAATCCATTACATACACATTTACCTCTATTGCTTCAGCTACCACTGATTTTATGACTCTCAAATTCCAGCCTCTATAAACCAAAAAAGAAAAAGAAAAAAACAGAACTGTCCATTTTCATTTGGAAAACTCCAAAGCCAGAATGTCCTCCAAGTATTGAATACTAGGTTGTCTGAGCAGAACTGGCCATATTCCCCTATATCAGAATTTGCTACAATTTCCCTTTTTTATTTATTTACAGATTTACTTATTTATTTAGAGAGTTAGCCTCTGACTCCATTTTCTTCTTTCACATCTTTTACCTAATAAGTCACTCCATAAATACAGAATTCCATCTGTCAACATCTTGATCTTTTTAAAATTATCATCTCTGCTCTTTCTCTGTATTTACTCCCTAGGGCTAATGTATGAACTTCCCTCTCCTAGTCCTGTCCTTTACATATTATCTGCTTTTGAATGGCAAATTTATGATCATTCTATGTTTCTTCATTATATATTGATTTTGGATGCCCTTTGCTTATAAACAAAATAATATAGGCAACCTTGAATCTTTACTGCTTGTTTCAGTTATACAGTCTCATGTGCTGTCATAGCTTCCTTAAGAGATAAATGCAATTAAAATAACCCTATTTAGGGGTGTGTATTTGATGTAGCAGTTAAGATGTCACTTGGAATGCCTATCTCCCATATCAGAATGCCTGGACTTGAGCCAAGGTTTTGTTCCCAATTCCAGCTTCCTGCTGTTCTGTTTACTGGGAAGCAGCAGATGATAGCTCAAGTATTTGGAAACCTGCTGCCCACATGGGAGACCTGGGTTGAGTTTTGGGCTCCTGATTTTGCACTGGTCCAGCATCAGCCATTGCAGGCCTTTGGGAAGTGAAACAGTGGATTGGAACTCCCCTCTGTCTGCCTTTGTTAAGTAAATAAAACAAACACATTTTAATGGCCCTGTTTATAATGAGGAATCTATGATTCACAGAGGTACTTCACTTACCATGGATGACACAGCTGGTGAGTGCACCTGCACAGCATATTTATAGCAAGATACTGTGAATGGGGAAAACCACATGCTTGCACAATCAAAATCTCCTGAAGTGCAAGCGCCTAACATGGGTTAAAGGTCTTGATCAGTTAAGCTCATTCCTTGAAGCCAACCTCTATATAAGGAGCAGCCACTATTTACTAAGTATACCATGTCATTTCATGGCTCTTCTAGTTTAGCCTTGCTATTTTCTATAATTGGCAAGGTTGTTTATATGTTTTGAGAGGCTGAGAGAGACTGAGAAGATTGTTCTCATACCATGGCTAGTTCACTCTCCAAATGCCTTTGGCTAGGGCAAAGGAGTAGCTAGGAACTCTATCGGTTTCCCACATGGGTGGCAGAGAGCTAAAGGCTTGAGCCATTACCTGCTGATTTCCAAGGTGTGCATTAGCAGGAAGCTGGAATTGGGAGCAGAGCAGAGACTCAAACCAAGACACTCTGATGTTGGACATGGGTGTTCTAAGCAGTAAATTATCCACCAAGCCAAACACCTGCCCTGAAAATTTAAGATATGCTTGACTATTATATTAGGACAGAAATGGCTATAAAACTGTGTATCCTCCAACTTCCAGCATAAGCAGAGTGAATGAGGTTTTTGACCAAGAATAGTTCAATGACCATAGGAAAGAATGGAATCCCCTTTTCCAGAAAGCTTTCCATGATTACTAAATCAGTCCATTCACTAATTCCTCCATAATGCATTGGTTTCTTCTACATATATTTTATTTGGACTCATATTGAAGATAGACACATATATTCAAATATATTTAATTTGGACACATACTGAAGATAGTTTACTGCTCTTTAAATACATTTTAAGAATCATGTCACCAAGAAATGTGAATATAATAATAGCTACCTTTTAAAGTCTCACTTAATTATGAGTACTGAACAACAACAAATCAAACAAAACTTTTCAAAATTCCAAATGAGGTTGCTCAGAGCCTAGGAGAAAAAAACTTTATTTCTACATTCTAAAGACTACCTGATTCTGTAGTATCAATTCACATTTGGTTGTAAACGGTCCTCTGCAAAGGAGCATAAAAGAATTATAGCAGAGCTCTTTCAAAATAATACATCTCCACACATTCATGCCCAATACAAACTCACATTAAATCTCTCCTGTGAAAGAAATCTTCAGGCTTATTAGGTATGTGTAGTTTGCCTACTCCGTCTCAGTTAATTTTGTTGAGAACCTTTGATTTCTGCGATAGTTTTCATGTATGTCAACGGCAAATTCTGCTTTCCTCATACCATTCAATTGTAGTAATGATAAAAGAAATGTCAGTATAATATTATTTCCATTCCTCCCAAAGATCCTGGTAGCCATTAGCAACCATGATGGCTATAAGACTATGTTGGCCTTCTTATTTTTCCAAGTACTTACCCAATTTCTACTCCTGTATTTTGTCTTAAGTTTGCTATCTTATTCTGTTTTCAGATCTTCAAGGTTTCCCCTATACAATTTTCTTGGGAACATTATTAGTTTATAGCTGTGCTAATAGTTTAATATCTTCTAACAGACAATAAACACCCACAGGTGCTTGATTAAAAAATATAAAATGACATTCATTGTAAAGAATAAAAGTTCTGTAAAATTCCTATCTTCTAAAGAATCATCATCTCTCAGCCTTTTAAAATCATGAGGTAATTAAGCTGCAGGGAGAATTTGCAGTCTCACATCTTAGGTGTTGCTTTCAGAAGTTCTTCCTCTGATTTCAAATATATCTAAATTGCAGGCCAATTTTAAGGCAACTTTTTCCTTTGAATGCCTGTGGTGAGCCCCCTATGAATTTATAGTCTCCTGTTAGATAAAAGGAAGTGTCATCTTCTTCATTTGTCCCAGATGGAGCTTAGAACCATAAGCATTCTAATGAGAGCCTTGAGCCACTGGGGATAATTATCTTGAGACAACTGCTCTAGCTATCCAGAGTCCAGAACTTTATATC